GTCATTTAATCGCTCTTTTTCTTTTCTAATAAGTGTTTTAGCTTCCTCTGCAGCTTCCTCGATGCTGATCTTGTCATGAATGCTGTGCGTTGTTGTGCCACATTTCTGACAAATGCACTTCTTGCAAGTTTTACAGAAATATTCGAGACGTGCTCCGTCGTGGAATTTCTCTTTGCAAAGCGCTTGATTGTTGATGTAGCTGTTGAGATTTTCTTGTTTGAAATCGCTCAAAAGCGTTGCTTGGTGTGTTCTTTTCAATGTGTTCATTGTCTTGTGATGGCTGATGCAGTCATTACAAATCATTCCTTCGCATTGTGGACAAAATCCAACCAACACACTGCGATTTGAGCAATTCGCACACTCTGTAAGCTGCTGTTGATGAGTTTTCTCGGCAGCTTTCAATTTCATTGAGTCAAATAACTCAATCAACGAGGTGAAAGTGAACGAGGAAGGGAGCGTCGAGACGTCACCACCCTCGACTTTCACGGCCGCTCTACAAGTTGGGCATTTCAGTTGCTTCCTGTCTCTCTGGCAAGTCTCGTTCCAACTTTTGATGCAGTTGAAGCAGAAAGTATGTAGACACGGCAGTGTCCTTGGGTCAGTAAAGATGTCATTACAAATAGCACAAGTTAACTGCGCTTCCAAGTCGTCAGTGAAACTAGAAGATGCTGCCATTGTGATTTTGCAAGAAGGACGTGTTCCTGTTTGTGTGGAATCATTCCGAGAAGTATAACGGTTGACTAGTTATCACCACAGAAACCATGACAGAATCAAAGCAAAGCATATTTCAAACATTTTAACAATTTCAATAACAAAATTGTTGAAATGGAACCAGTGCAACTAGCTGTAAACTGACAYGTTTAAGCAATATTTGTACTGTTCGAATATTACAATTATGGAACGGCTTGAACTAGCACAAGACAAATTTTAATTTAAAATTATTTTCATTTTGAACCAGAATCTTTTTTATCGTTTGTGAAAATGAAGTAATGTTGTGAAATTTAACCATTTTAATTGCAGTCTTGCTTCGCTTCCCTGTTTAAAGATTCAGAGGAATAGAGCTAGAATGCTACACAATGTGGCTTTTTATGTCCATATAGCCTCCTCGTACTTCCTTCGTAATAATGCATTTTCTTTTATTGTTTGAATTTTGGGGTTACGATTAAAAAAATATCAGTTGATAGTCGGTGAATTTTATTTTAAGATTATGGGA